AGACCAAAGTGTTCAATTCACTAATCATATGGAATTCACACTTGTTCTTGCTCCTTAGGCAGTCTCTACTAGCCCCTAGCAGATCAGCTACCTCTTCCCCAATCATACCCTGGTTGCACAGGACTGCGTTCCTGACCGGAAACGATCTCGCAAAAACGGTGTCTACGATAAAGACTCGTTGATTCCTTGCCCCTTGTTGGGCAGTAAGGACAACCAAGTCCAGGGGCATGACCCTTAGGGTCAAAGGCATCAGGAGAGGGAATATCATAGACACACCAAACTCGTCCGTCCCCACAACATCGGAAATAGTCCTCACAAGGGACTGCGAAAAGGGGAAGTTCGGCTGTAAGATAGCAGTTCGAGCAAAGTGTGAACATGCTCCTGTCACAATCCACACATACACTGTGGACACCGTTTCTGTGGCTATAGGGAGTCGGTCTGAGATATACTTCCTAGCAACATCGGTTGTTCGTGAAATTCGGTCACTCAACCGCAGGACCCCATAGTAGGAATCAGATGCCACAACTCCATCCGAGCTTCCATACACACGGACATACTCAGTTAAATCTCTCAAAGCTTCTGGTGACTCTAGATCAGTCTGCATCAGGACTTGCTCTTCTTCATCCTCTCCAGTTTCATCGGCCGAAAAATTGGTTGCCGAAGAGTCGAAAGCTTCCGCATCTCCTAGACTGTCACATGTAGAGCTACCGCTACTACTATCAGTCTCTGGCCCAAGTTCGGACAGAATCAAGAAGATGCCTTCGTATATGGGCACCACTTGGAAGAAAGAATAAGTGACTTCTCCTGTATCAACCGGCACTATCACTGTGCAGATATTCTGCCATAAACAGACATTCTGCGGGATGATCAATTGGAAGAGCTCTGCGACAGTAAGAAATCTTCTTGTTCGCAAAATGAAAGTCCCTCTATATCTATCGACATCAGCTACGTATTGGAAAAGGACCGGGAATAGCCCTTCTCCTCGGACCGTAGTGACGATAAAATTCGGCTGTCTTCCAATCGCCGTCATGGGGGCAGGTCGTACAGGAAAAATATAGCATGTCCTTCTTCCGTAGACGTGGCTCCAAACTTGTCGGATCTGCTGATCGACAGGTTCAAAGAAGCGGAGAGCTATCATATCATATTTCCTGCAAGTATTTCCAATTTCATCCGCTGTATGGAGCCAAACAACAACGCGAATTGGGTCTGGGACCACTTGTCGAACATACTCCAGGAGCCCATCTTCACGACGTGTCGATGACTGCATGAGGCAGAGTTCATCCGAAAGATCTGATGGGGCATCATAGTCGCCATCGTGTGCGTGGTCTCCCAGCATGGTCGATTTCTGCATCAAACTAGACACCTCTTCATTGATATACTCTCGACCATGCTCTGACCCTGGACGAACATGGATAAGCAAAAGCCCCCCCTGTCATTCTGTTCGAGGCATCATTCTGGATCGAAACAAGTTCTTCGCCATGTCTGAGAGTATCAGTCATTAGCAAAGAGCGTCGGAGACCAAGCTTTGAGAGAACACATGAATGATACGTGATCAGCACTTCGTCTATCGAGATACTATTTTGCTTCACAACTAGCGATGGGATTTCCCAGCTTTCTAGATGCCGGTAAACCAAAAAATGCATTTGATCAATATCAAAATCGAAATTCGTAGGCTGCGGTCGAACGATCGTATAATCACACAACGTCGACCCACATTTGTCTCTCCACAGCTCAGTAAACATAGCTTGCAAGTCAACGAGTTCATTTCGATCAAAACTCAAATGTCTCGGCTGTCTAAGGCATGACATTTTCTCTGCAAACCAAACCTGAACATTCGAACATCTTGTCGGAGGTTGCAAAGACCAGGCACATGCGTCACAAGACTTCATTTGTACCCGCATTGACAACTGAACAAAACTATGCCATTGGCTGCGGAGTGCGTTTCTACTACTTGGAGTCGCTCCACTATCAGGCCTCGAAGTATTGGTAACATTGTCAGCCTCAAAATGTGGACAAAATCCATGCACAGCTCTAGGCCTAGTATGGTATCCGGGCCGAGCACAGGAAGACCAACATGACCCTCGATTCTGTACTTCTGACACAGAAAAAGGGAGAAATGTCATCTCGCTTTCTCTAACCAAAAATGGATCAAAGTTGGGACTTTCTTGGAGATCCTCAAGAGCAGAATCATAAACTCCAGTCGCAGGGCTGTCCTTTGAGGAATTGAAGGACTGTCCGTTTCTGAGCTCCTGGCCAAAAAGCAAGTCGTATTCATGCAGCAATTGCGTTATGCCGACCGTTACCGAAATGCCTTCAGCTCCCAGGAGGTTAAGCAGCATCATTGTAGCAAGAATCCGTTTATGAGGACTCACTGGTTGCCATTGCCTATGAGCAGTCCGCCTGCCCGCAACAATGCTGCATTTCTTGGGAAACTTTGGATTCAGCTCCTCTCTCCATCGCATAAAACGGCAGAATTCTAAGCTAATGTAACTTCCCAAGCATCCCCGGAAAATCCAAAGAAGGATATGCACACCTCCTAAGGAAACCTCGTATTCAGGATCAGGCTCTGCACATTCAAGGAGGAAACCAAAACAGATGCAACAACTCCTAAGGAGAAGCACGCCGTCAAAAAGTCTCTCTGCAGCAGGCCACCTGTATAATCGTTTAATTAACCCACCGTATCGAAATTGGTCGGAGAGCCCGACCAATTCACGCATGCTAAGGATGACCAAGCACACGAGAAACGGCACACACGACATCACAATCAGCCTCGCACACCATGGGAAAAGTCTGAGACTCCCTCCAAAGGAATTCCAGGAGGTGGCAAACAACTGATCTGATGGCTCTGGTATGACTCCAAGGACTGAAAAGGCAGCCTCGAAGGCATGTCCGTCAAACAAACCCCACAGATTGGCAGCCCCCTTGCCAATCATCTTGGTGCTTCCTTCACACAGATCAAAGAGATGACCCAAGACGGAAAAAACTGCAGAGGACAAGCAAAGTTCAAATGGCTTTGTTCTTGCTTCTGCATCTAATACAGACTTTTCCTTATCCGTCCAGGATAAGCCATAGCCTGCCTTGCTGTTCATAGAGGATTGGCTGTCAAGCGAGCAGCTTTGAAATCTAGCGCTACGGCATGACAGTATTCCATAGCTCACGAAAGCTGGGTGATATCCTTGTACTTGGTGCCACCGGGAGTGGCAACTTTGGGCTCGTCGCCTAACGGCGTATATGGCCCTGGCTTTCCTTTTTGGCCCACACTCTTGCCGAAAGGTTGGAGAGCAGGGGAAATCGCCAATGAGACAAGTCCAGCTGAGCCTGCCGATCGTCCATCGTCTTCTGGTTCTAACTTGACCTTCATGCCAGAGCCATTTGCTTGATAGTCTTCTATGACACTCTTGATAAGCTCCATCACTGCTACTTTCGTGACATAGTCCCTGGGATAATCGGACATCGTCTGCAACACAATTTGCTGGCATTGATCCGGATATTTTCCCAGCTCTGCTTTCAGCTCTTGGCTTGTGCAGTCGCACTCCTTGGCAATACGGATTCTTTTCAATCCGCTTCCATGATCCGGGGATCTGGAACGATCGGTTCGCTCCTTGCCTTCTTCTCGAGTTGACAAAATCTCTGCTCCAATGGTCTTCCGTCGAACCAAGGGTTGCTCTGGGGAATTCACCTTGGGACCCGAAGTCAGTGTAGCCCCTTGCAAAGCACCCATAAGTGCCGACATCTGTGCTTGCATCTGCTCCATCATAGCAGCGTTCTTGGCTTCCAGATGTGCCGTGTAAGAGGTCAGGCCTTGAAATTCCTGCCTCATTGCCCGAAGTTCTCCGTGAAGATCTTGGTCGGCTTTGTTCTCTTCGTCGGAGTCCGCCACAAGCATCGGGTCTTCCTTCCCCGACTCGATCGATTTGAGCTCTTCTCTCAACTCTGCGACTTCGGTTTGTACCCTCTTCTCTTCCCTGCGAATGCCCTCCTGGATGGAGTACTTCCATTCCGAGAAGCTTTTCTCCTTGCGATCCATAGTCTCTCGAACTTTGGTTACTTTGTTCAAAGCTTTGCGTTCTTGGTTCAAAGCTTTTTGCTTCTGCTTGATGATCTCCCTCGGATCGGTCTTCAAAACCTCTTGTACTGCTTCCGGGAGGTGCTGCTGATCTTCTTCTTTGGGCACAATCTTCTCGACCAAAAACTTCATCGTCTCCTTCAGTTTCTGGTTTTCTTCCTTCAAAGCTGAGTCCGACTGCGATGACGATGAAGATCGCGGCAATGCCGATCCAGCTTCTTCGAGCTCGACCATCTTGCCGTCGTGTCCATATAGGAAAGCTTTCTTCTGCTTGTCGTTCCCTCTTTTCTCTGGCTTCTTTGTCTCGTAGTAGTAGGCTGGTTCCGAGGCCCACCCTTGCCATACATTCCAGTTCTGCTTGGCTTTCCATGACATCCCTGTCGGAGCCAAAGCTTGTATCCAGTATTTTGGCCTTGTATGGTGGGCAGTCAACAGCCGAAGCTTTTTGGTGAGCCTATCCAGCAGGGGTGCCGAAAGTATCGGCTTGTATTGGTGCTTTTTGACAAAGCACCTAGCTCTGCTCCTAGCTTTCCGAGCACGTCGATGCCACGAAGGTGAGGTCCCTATGGCGGACGGCTATCGTCACGTGCCGTGCACGTGGGGCGCAGGAAATTCCTACCTAAGCAGGCTAGTCTTGAGCCCTAGTGGCAGGTTTCCCCACTATAGAAGATCAGGTGGAAGCAGCTGTTAGGGAAACTGAGGGGTGAGCATACACCAGAGCCGCACCGACCAGATCATTGGTGTTCATTCGACGGAACAAATGATGCAATGGACAAAAGTTGATAGTATAATACATTGCTGGTGGGCACCTTATGGCATTAGCTCAAACATATAACAAGCATATCACATTGATCATCATTGATCTTGGACATGAAAACCACCCTTTGCTTTGGTCAACGCTGCTTTCCGGGTCAAAAGCCCGACCGACATGGAGGCTATCAGGTAACGGTGTCCGATTGGCAGTTCTACAATGCCTCGTGCCTGGGCTTCGCAGCGGTGCATCTCGTGCCGGGCGTGCCGGTGTTTGAAGAGAAGAGCTGGAGTCATATGGATAGCTAGGGAGCCACGACCTCCCTGGAAGATGGAAACGTCTGGGGAAAAAGAGTACAATGGCAATTGGTGGAGGGAGAGAAACTTTGTCATACCCTAGCGATAATCACCTTCAAACCTACAGAACAGTGCCTCCAATCACCTTCTGAGAAGGTACGACTGGATCCCTATAGGGATATTTCATCAAATACCGCATGCCAAAGAGTCCGCACCCTCCAGACTCCAAGGACGAGTCCAGACCCCTGCGTCACACGGTGTGAAGTCCGGAGTCTGCGTTTCGTGCAGTCAGACTCTTAGGGAGCCGCAAATTCTTCCTGCAAGTGGTGATTAGCAGTTCATGAGATGATCTTGTGCCAGATCCTCAAGGGAATCAAGCCAATAAAGCGAATGAGAACGACATGTTCAATACAAACCCATGGGTCTAAGTCCTTTTCGAAAGTCAGTGGTTGAAGCCCTCGAACTCGATGAATCCACCGTGTCACGAGCATGCTGTGTGCCGATGGGTCGATCCCATCGATGCCCCAAAAGTACGGCATTGTCAGGTGCCTATGACTCAGATGCCGTACTTGTTAAAAGCCTACAGTATGTGGCTGACTCATTTCCTGCAAAAAAATACATGGAAGGACGTGCCCTCTTCGTTAGGATCGCACTTAGTATCACAAGAGGACGGTCATCCAGGCGCGCCACGAACCCGCGGGGTGCAACCCCCAGGGTGCCCCCCCGGAGCCGCTCAGGGTTCCCGAGAAGCTGAGAAAGCTGCACAGCGATGGCTTTAGGCCAAGAGTGGAACATGTGGAACTGTTTGCTAACTGTATGGGGTGGAGGATGGTGCATGAGCCACTGCCGGTGGTGTTTGTTTTTCTTGAAACTTCTATAAAACCTCAGTATACCTACCTCAGTGTTTCATATGTTGAGTAAGGACCTGCGTTGAAGAAGGACACCAATTGCATAATTGCGTCAGCAAAATCCTGAAGTGCGCAAGGTTGCGTCAATAACACTCACATGTCAACGTGACATGTGTATCAATCAAAGACTAAGCTTGCATCAGCTAGCCGCTAGCAGCTAGCATATGGCGCTATTCCATGAATCCCTTCATGGGAGCTCCAAATCCTTTTGACTCACAAAGCAACACGGGAGCGATTGCACTCACCTGCCTTCATCGAACTGCCGTGTGGGTCCGACCTCAGACAGCCATGTATGCTAAGCAGCTACTGTGAGGCTGCGAGAACAACAATCTCGCGATTTTCTCCCTCATGCTGGAAGCCTTTCCAAAAGAGAATACTTTGGCGTTGGTCCTTCAAATTCTGCTCATTTACGCAGTTTAGGACATGGTCTAGGACCTCGAGCATTGAGTGTCTCCATGTGTTCCCCCCGTTGGCCTTTGCGCACACGCACCCGTTCTATTTGTCTCTGCCCGGAGGTTGGTGATCTTCACGAACCAGGGAAACATCCGGCGCCTTCGCTGCTTCAGTGGTGGTCCTTCGGTTTTGGCCGTCAAGGTCCGATGACTTCTCTTTGGTGTGTCAGAGGGCTCCACTGGAGCAACTCCACATTTTTTGGAGGGAGTAAGCTGAGTAATATTTGCAGCCTAGTTCGTTCAGCTGCCGGTATGTCTATTGTATAGCTATTGGCTAGTAAAACTATGATGAGTTTGGGCACCTGAAGGAATATATTTTGGCCCCACAAGGGTGCGTGATTTTTAGACCTCGGTGGTTGACCAACTAATCATCCCAGCAGCACCAACTTGATAAACACAAGAGCTGGTTGGAGCAGATGTGTGAAACATCTCATGATTGTTAGGTAATTAGGTTCAAAGTGAGACTGCAAAGAGCAATCACTCAGAATTGCTGCTTGTTTGGTCGATCGACTTCATCGAATACTATCCATTAACAAGTGCAGCATGTCTTTTTACGATGTCTAGACAGCCTGTATGGGTGGGTCATTTTACAGGGTGAATAAACCAGTGTAGGACACTCGAGTTCGACGATGGTGCCTTCGTGCTGCCTTCAGTGCTTCGGTAGGGACCGGGCGGAGGCATCCCCGGAGTCGGGCGTTTTGGTTGGGCCGGTCACCGGCACTCCACCTGTCTTGGACCGGTATCCAGGAGCGCCTTGGAGGGAAAGCGGGCGACTGCCTTCAAGGGCTATGTGGAGCCTTGGGAAGATGTGGAGCAGGGGTCGATATAGTGGGAGCAGTGGGACGGTGGCAGAAAGGAAGGTTGGATGTGGGATGGATGTGGGATGTACCACCCGTGAGTTGTTGGTCTATTTTTGTTGGGGCAGTGACTGGAAGATGTGATTGTTTGCCCGGTAGTGAGTGAAGCTCACTCACCATGATTCAGATGATGTGGTGGAGCCATCAAAAGGAGACGAACGTTTCAAACCTTTGAGGTTGCAAGGTGAAAGCCCATTGATTCTTGCAATAGCTCCGCTACGGCAGGGTGGATGCCACAACTGAAGCCATGACTTTTTGGGATGCAAGGAGTTGCTACATCACCAGCGCTATGCGGATCTGTTGGTAGTTGGTAGCACACCTCAACCAGGATGTTTCAATCTGAGACAGCCAGAGGTTCAACGAACCCTTTGGCACTCTTAACTTCATGACAAATCCTCCGGAAGTTCTGAAGTTCTGCGCAGGTCTCAGTGGGAAGTGGTTGAAGTCATCCATTTCATCGGTCACCACTCTCGTCCTCCACGGTCTTGACGGACTGGGACCTCGAGACCTGACCGAGCGACCTCTGACCGAAGAGGTCATGTCGCATCAGTAGCTGTAAGAAAGAATCCAAGCAAGTTTCTACCAGGACCCTCCAACAGGTCTCCGAAATGCTGGCTTTTCCTTTTCCTTTTCTACGTCGCAGGTGGTGAGTTGTTGGCCGTCAGGTGCTGGTGCTGGTCTAGGACTATAGATGTTGCCATGTAGCTCCAAAAGTCCAAAGGCTCTTCGAGGTCCTTCTTCAAGATAGGCCTTTGAGATCCACACAGAAAACACCGCGAGGACGAGCCCAAGAATCCCATACATGTTTGGGGTGGTTTGCAACTCTGGAAACATGGCAATGTGTAACTACATATAGAACAAAAAAACACGTGAAATATATGCACAACCAACCAGTATCTTAAAACGGCACAACATTTTTGCCGGATGCAATGTTCAGTGCAAAGACACCATATTCAATATATGAACAATGCTGTTTCGGGGATTGCAATCATGTGCTCAAAATCCATGGATGGGGAAGACACCGTTTGGAGGCCTAAAACCGCTGTTTCTTTTTGGCTTCTCACCCACCTACCACACAATTTGTCGTTTTACGCTTTGTCAATGCCTCAGGATGCCTTTGCCAAAGAATTGGGCGCGCCAATCTTAGTGAGTGCCTCAGGACGTCTAAAGGTGAAACAGCTGCGGTTGTGATGCCCTTTCATTGGCTCAACAGAGCATGGAACTTCATGGAGTTCAGGTTTCTGAATATTGAATGTGTCACTGCCTATATGTCTTCAAAACCCGAGGCACCACCCTGGTGGACCCCTGAAAATGAGGGGCTCCCCTCTTTAGGGGAGATGAATCTCCCGTGCTTTTGACTCGCCAAATTGGGCCCAAGTGTCGACATCCAAGTGCAAGCTAGCTAGGTTGGACATCACCAGGTTGGAGTCTTTTTTCAACTTAGGGATCCACATACGACTGGGCCCTCCTGGCGCCTATATAAATAGTCTCCAATCACCTGAGAAGGTACGACTGGATCCCTAGGGACAGAGGTAGGACGACGTTGGACTCCAGCTCCAGGTTCTGGCAGCCACCATGAAGGACCAGCTGCGCAAGCCCAACGGTGGCATGTGGGAACAGCTGGAGAAGGTGGAACTGTGGGGATTTGGGGTGGGGGTTCAAAGAGCAAAACGATGGTGAATGGGAAGTCCAAAGCTTGGAACAGAAGAAGAAACGAGTGAACCATGTAGTGCTTGATGTGTTCTCCTTCCAGCGGATTGTTCAATGAAGAGATTAAATGATTAGATTTGAAATAAGAGTTCCACGGAAGAGCCAGCAAGTGGAGCTCGCAGGGTTTGGGAATGCTCCTTTCAGCGGATTGTTCAATAAATCGATTCGAGATAAACCCCAGATCCGCTAGAAGTCCCAAGACGGTCTTTTTTGGTACCACTGAAGTCAAGGAATTCCTTTCCGGGTCACCTGAAGGACCCTTCTTGGTCGTCGACGGGGTGGTTCCATGGGTTTGGGGTGCAGTAGCTCTCCGAGCTGGCAGATGGAGGACGTGGACGAAGGAAAACGGACTCCAGGACTTGGTCACCGGACATCCTTGGTCACCAGGAAAACGGTTTTGCTTGAGGGATTGGCAGAAAGAAGGAGTCTCACTGAGCGAATTCTGGTTGATTGAAGGGATTCGCTCCTGGGGATGTCTGGGGGGCGTCACTCTCTTGCCTGGTTGGGGTGACTCTGCTCCTTGGAGGAACATCGAAGTCATGGGAACCGAACATCGATGGGTTTCATCCAATGTTCATCCAAGTTCAGCCTTTCGTTTCACCGTCCTTCTCCTGACCCCTGAGGTGATATCACCATCTCACCTGGATGACTATGATGACTCACACATCCCGACGTAGACAAAAGAACCCCTTCCTCATCCCAACAAACATTCAAAGTGGATGGCATTGGATGGCGGCATGGCACCTTGGAAGATTGTGTTTCAATGTTTTTCCACCATGGATCCGAGATGGCCCGTGCATGGTCCGTGCTTGGAAGCTCATTCACTTTTGGGGGACCCCAGTGTCTGAGGCCCAACGTGGAATTTGTGAGTAACATTGGCAAACCAAGCCAGGAGCAAAACTACGTGAAGAATTGGTGACTGGTGGCACAAGGCTATTTGGCTCAACGGTTTTTCTTGCTATTTGGGGATGTCACAAAGTTCAATAAACCAGAGATTCCTGAGCTTCGCTGGCGTCACTTTTCGACTTCTCAACATCTTCCCACTGCTTTTCTGGTCAGGATTCCTCAACATCTGCCCAAACTGATCTGAAACTCAGGGTTGATCTATTACTCTTCTTAAAATCTTGGGACTTCATGGTAGCTGTGTGTCACTGCGAACCCGGAACATGCCTGGCCTCCTTGCATCTCCCGGGTCCTGACAGATGAACGGAGCCATCGACAAAGATCAGAGCTTCTTCGTGGGTGACGCTGCAGGCGCAGAACGGTCAAAGCTTCGCGTGAGAGGTGTTTGGAGCGGTGGAGCTGCTGGATATCTGGTTTCGGAGCGTTTGGAGCTGTGGAGTCCTCTCGAGGTCGAACATGAGGAGCAAGAAGAAGCTACTAGAGGCGCTCCTGGCATTACGACTAGGAACAAGAAGCTACTAGGAACAAATGGCTCTTTAAAACTCCCTGAAGGAAGTCCTGAAGGAATCATGTTTTAGTGAACACTAACAGCACCAGTTTGGGATTTCGGACATATCAGCTGCTCATGGGGGCTAGCAATCCACGGTATGTGAGGGGGGCCATCCCTTCGTGGTGCAGTGTTTTGCCCACCCCAGCCAGTTGGCTTCCTAGCAAGTCAGTTGGCATTTGGGGAGGTTCCTCAGAGTTGTCAGCTGCCTTGGTTGCCTGTGGTCTCACATACCTGGACCCTCCAGCTTGTACCGAAGAAGATGGCCTGGGCTATGACCAGGAACCTATTGCTGCTCCAAGTCCCACCATGTTTCAGTCTGTCTCACCGTGAGGCTCCATCCCCTGGCTCCATGGGTTTCAACATGTTGGTCCTTCCACAGAGTCTCCTTCCATCCAATCCGCCCGGTCCGCTCCATCCAATCCGCTTTAGACCGAGAGGCGGCGTGGGGGAGCACTCGGCTGATGATGCGGACTTCGCGAAGACGGTGGGGGTGAAGCCGGGATGCCCGAGTGGCGCCGACTTCGCGTCCGATCGCTCCGGACGTCGTAGCGAGGCCAGGGTCGCCCCGTTCGGAGCGTCCTCTTGTTCTGTTCGTAGTAAGGTAAGGCCAGGAGCCCAATGAGCGTCCTTGCTCCTAGGATGCCCAGAAGGCCCGGATGAGTGACCTCAGTTTCTTCTGAGATCCCAAGAGCTCCCGGTCAAGTTCTAGGCGAGTGTACTACGAGCTGGTCAGAGGCTTTTGGAACCACCGGCGTTTTGTTCACAAACCCTGTAGAGAATCGATGAAGCAGACTTCGAATCGACGGAGCAGACTGACCTCGCAGGCAAAAGAGGAGACCTCCCTAACCCAGAACTTCCGTGACTTGACTCATGAACTACTTCTATCTGGTAGTCACTGGTGGTCACAATCCAGTTCATACCAGTTCGGGGTAGTTCATGTGTGACTGGACTCTGGTAATTTCGCCGGCCTGTGGGACCTCACCGGGCCGGGAAAAGGGATGGTGGATCAGTTCAGATCCTTCTACTCCCCTGCAATTCGGACCGAACCCCAAAGCCACCAGAGGAAAATGGTCTTCCATCGGTCCATTTTCAGGTTCCATGTTAGTTTGCGCAGGGGTGCAACATCTGCAAGTCGACCCTTCTCCGCAGTAGATCCATGCTCCCAGCAACATGCTCCGTGCCTCTGCCTTTGCCACCCGTGGTCGTGGCGGGGTTGGCGCACGCGAGGTTTATCCACACCAACGAATTCTTCGGTCCACCAGGCGTTGTGCGCTGTGCACGGAGCTGTGCGCGCACCGTGTCGTTGGCTGTGGAGGCTGTAGAGGATGTGCGAGGCAAAGAGCAATCCTTGGATTGAGTTTTAGGTTGGAGGCCATCGCCATTAGGTTAGAGATGTTAGATTTAGAGGCCATCGCTTCTAAATTAGGTTGGAGGCCATCGCTATTAGGTTGGAGGCCATTCCAATTGGGTTGGAGGGCTTGTATAATCGTTCCTTTTCCAAGCCACTTTGACATATCATCGGCGATGATGTGGACGGGATTGGGATGTGGATTATGAGTCATGAGTCACAATGAGATGACGGGTTTGTGGTTTGATGATGATGGTTGCCCAATGATGGTAGATATGACATGACATGACCATTTTCCAAACCTCTCAACTCCCAGAATGGATCATCATGGATCGCAGAGAACAAGTTTCACCATGGATCGCACGGAAGCGTTGGGGACAGTCATGGATCGCAGGCAGCTGTTGGCGGCTGTTGGACTTTAGTCACTTTAGTCCATGTTAATCCCATTCGGTTGGACTGTCAGGTTCTGAGTTTTCACCGTGTCCCTCCGTCCAAACCGTGCCGACAAGGACACACCGGTTTTCATACTCGATAGTATACAGTATACATGGCCAGTTCAAGTTACTGTACAGTACGTTACAGTCAGACAGATACCTCAATCATCCTCAAGTATCCTATATAAAGGGGTCGACCAGACACGTACTGAACAACTCAAAGAGTCAGAATCAGAGTTATATATAATGTTAACATGATATATAACACTCCAAAGGGGGTCCATAAACCACTCACTTATAAAGGCCATTTTGGACCAAAACTCAAGCACCACTCGTTTCTCAAACTCCACTCAAGCACCTCTGGATGAGTTTGACCAAGCATCGCCAGGTGGGCTCGAGCCCTCCATCGAGCCGCCCAAGAAGGTGGGGAACCCGCGTCAAAGCGCGGCGCCTTCTAGCTTGTCCTTGAGGTGAGCTCTGAAGGTTGATGTTCAATACCAAACATGACATAAGCATGATGATGTGTCCTTTTTCTGTGTATCAAGTCATGAAGATCGGATCCTTCCTTCCAACGCGTATCAGAAACATATCCATGTCCGGGGCGATTTCGGGAATAGCTGGACTGTCGAACTGGTCGGCGTTTCAAGGATCGACCGGTGTCCAACTGGTCGACTGGTGTGTCAGGTGTACCCAGGGGTGTCGGGTGACAAGTGCTCTCAAAGTACGTGGGAAAATTGGTAGTCGGTGCAACCTTGTACATATCTTTATAGGGTCATGTCCCATTGTCTAATACTTTGTTTGTCCAGGTATACCTCCTATAGGGCTGCAAATACCTCCTGACGAGGTGTTTGGGAGGGTTTTTAAGGGAGAAGGTGTGAGCAGTCGCAACTGGCATTAAGTATGATTATGATGCTGAAAAGTATTTGGAACGGCGACGCTGCTTTGCTGGGGATGGTTGTTCGCAATTTCTGGGTTTGGATTCAGGGCCATTCACTTATTATTGAGGAAGCATCCTGTAAATTGGGAGCACTGGCGGCCTCGAATGAGCCCAAAAGACTCGGAGGACCGCTGGTTAGGGCGTGGTTTCCACTTCAGGCAGTTAAAAACAGGAAGTGTCCAACCATTATGAGGTGAGTATGGGTAAGTGTATGGGATCCATGCTTGGGTCAGGTCGCCTTCTGGTCCTGGCCTGGGGTCTGTGAAAGAACCGCAGCTTCGGAAGCTAGGAATCCACCCTCCCCATGTCCTGCGTCTCGACGCAAGGCTGCGCGGTTGGAGGGCCTCGCGCAGAGCGTCACTCTGGGAGGTGATGAGGTCTCAGGTGGGGCCCTCATAAACCTTGTGGTGGGCGGGAAGATCCCTTACCTTCGGCCTTAGGTCCCAATGTTGAGCACTTTTCCCAGTGGGGCAAAGATGTAAGACATCATCAGACTTAGTGCCCATGATGGGTCTTGGGGAGAGTTTTGCAAAGAAGCATCACTTCCTCGACCGTCCTGGCTTTGGATGGTGCCAACCAGCTACCTAGGCTCCGGTCGTAGCTCCTCGGAAGGGATTTGGACTCTCCTGGCTCCCACCATCACCCATCCCAGTCCCGCCTTTGCTTTGAAAGGTACTTCGGAGCCCTTTCCGGGACACACCGGTACTTCCCTTCTTTTCCGGTGCTCCCTCCACCTCCTCGCGCCCACCCTCACATCCACCGTCCACCACCGCCTTCTTCCGCAGACGACCGAGGTGATCCGTTGGTCCTGGTGCTGGTGGGTTTGCCCGGCTCGGGGAAGACGACCTTCGCCCAGAAGTTGGCACCTTCAGGACGGACGATTCGGAAGCCGGTGCCAACTTCGGATCGCGAGACACAGCTCCCGGAGGACCGAGGTCGGCAAAACGACGTAGGTCACTAAGGCTGGCAAAGTTTGCCATAGAGTGAGGGGTCCGGGGACCTTGTTCTTGGCGCGTAGGAATTCCTTTTGATTCCCTCAAGACAAACGGTTCGTTTTTGCGTGTGAAGGCATTCTTTGTGAGGCGCGAGGTTTCATTGAAAGAACATGTTGTTCATTGTTGCGCCTCACCTGCGGATGAGAAGGCCAACGATCTGTGTCCGTCAGGAGGAAATAGTGTGCGATGGCAACGCTTCTAGGCGGACATAGAGTCCTGTCAAGCAGAAGGTGTAGAGTAGCCCAGAGACATCTATGATCTGGGGATGATGCTTTTAAATACAAATTCATCAGAGTTGCCGTGCTTATCCATATCTATGTCAAGTTCTACTTCTTTGGAGACTTGGAAGACTTGTTGTTGTTTGAGGGTTCAATATGTTGTCCATTCAGAGTATGTATTGTTTTGCATTGGTTTCAATATGTTTTCAGGCTTGAATTGATGCGAGTCCAGCTACCACCAAAAAAAAAACTCTTTGTTTTATCTTGATGAAATAGATTTGGTGTGGTATATCAAGTGTCCTACATTAGAAGACATGTGAGATCCTTCGTTCATCCGTTCATCCAAGGGACTTGCCAAGACCTGCTCCGGAGCCCGACGCTCAGGGCGGAGAATCACATACGCCCGACAGGGAGACAGACACCTGGGTGTTGCACTGTGAGTTCGCCATGTCCCTTTACTCAGTTGCTTTGGTGATCATGGTATCATTTGGCTTCAAACATGATAATGTATATATGATCACAATTGATCTATCATAACTGCAGCTGGCCTAGTGTTCTGAGAATGGCCACAGCTCATCAGCTTGTTTCATCCACTGGAATCTGTCACAGAGATCTGAGACTGCCAAGGCAAAGAGGCCTGCTTGCGGGCTGCCAGCAAGGCGTTGGAAGAGGCGAGGTCCCCCGTGGGATGCATCCAACGAGTGCAGTAGGAGTGCATGAGCATGCATGAACCTCAGAATCTTCACAGGCTCAATGTAGATGATTCTCCAAAGAGTGCGCCGCGCTCCGAAACACCAAAGACCAAACACTACCCTTGTAAGTTGCTTCGATAAGATATCATATTATCGATGATTATAGATGATTTTAGTTGAAAACATATATAAGTATAAGTATATATATATTATACAATAATATACACTCTTTTCACGTACACCCTGCTCCACCTGGGCAAAACCATCCACCACGAGCTGTGGTCACGAAGCATGGCAGGAATCCCAGTTCCGGGATCCGATGGCAGTAGGATTCGACTTTGACAGCCAAAGTGCCTACGAAGGTCCTCGGGGTCAGACGAACTCGTGCAAAACATGTACCAGTCGGGAGTCTTCCTGAAAATTCCGACATCCATTCAAGTTCCTCCAATGATGTTCAATCTATGTTTGAATATGTTAGATTTTTTTTTATCTCTCTCTCTATATATATACACATATTTCTTCCATGTATGAACTCACACGAGAAGAACCTCTGTAAAACACATCTGAAAGCCTCATCATATGGCGATCATTTTAAATTTTGGACCTCAAGTCGTGTGGCTTTCAACCAAAAAAAGGACACGCACTCACATCACAATCACCTCGGACCCAGAAAGAGACGAAAACGGGCCTCACAGCCTCACCCCAACCCCCCCTGGTGAAGCTTTCTGACGTTTCAGCTTTCCCAACACGGAGGGCTTCTCGGTGATCATCGACCGCACAGACATCAATGTGGAGCAACGAGCTCCCTGGGTCCAACTCGCCAGCGAAAAGGCCCGGTCCAACTCGAGCGGTTTTTCGGGTGGTTCATTGGTTTCGACGTCGGTCGTTTCTTGGTCGTTTCTCGGTCCATTCTATTGGTGTGTGTTGGAGGTCATCTCACAGATTGCTTTTGCTCAATGGTGATGGTTTATTTGAGAAAAATGCTTGAACCGCACGCCCCCAAAGACCTTATTGACCATGATGGTGGCACTGGCAGAAGGGGATCGTGGACTCAGGTCGACCGATGTGATGTTTGAGAGGTGAAACTGAGGCAAGGCTGCGATTCGACCATTGGTCTTGAAGAAGTTATATACATTTTCTTCTCTTCAAAAGGGTCTCCTTGTTCACAGTTTTCATGGTTGTACCATCTCACCACACCAGGGCGTAGCTGCTCATGCGCTGATCTTCGACGTGCCAGCGGAGGACCCACGGGTGTGCCACACTGGGAATGGCGTTCGCGAATGCACGATGCCCTTTGCTCCTCCTCGGAAGGAAGTCATCGGATCTCCGTACTGTACCTCTGAGCATGAATTCAATTCTGTTTCCATGGCGTTGTACAAACAGCATACAAGTGTGAGTTGCTCTTATTTATTGGGACGTGACTGACTGCTTGTGATAGCAGTGCACACGAGTTTTTGAGTGTTGGACATGTTTCATGTGGGGTAAAAATCTATAGAAAGCAACTTCTCCAGATCACTGATCAACTTGCATGGAATAGCTAAAGCGACTTATACCTGACTGTATAAATCACTGATCGCTTGAATCACTTCTATATTCTACTCAATTTGCCAAGTGCAAACTATACCGCGACCTTAAATGGGCGACCAAACCCGTTTGGGCCAGGAGTGTCTCACATTCCCCATAACCTATGCCACACACCCTATAACCCCATATCCCTTCAGCCCTTCAGCTTATAGGACTTTTTATAGAAGCTTCAGCCCTTCAAGATGACCTGTGCAATCTTTGCACACATGGCGTCTCCTCCCGTGCAAAAAATTGAAGCTTCAGCCCTTCAGGCTTCCTGAAGTGAACCCCAAGACTCGACGCGCGAGGCGTCCTTCCGCTTTGCCGTTCTTTCGCCGTTGCGCTTCCCCGCCGTCGACACCGGCCACCCGTCGTGTGGCCTACCGCGGCGCGTGGCCGCCAGGAGTGTGGCCGACGCGCGTCGGAGCGGCGAGACCACGAGGGCGGCCTGCAGTCGGGGGCGCCCGGGGATGGCGGAGCCGGAGCGAGGTTACCGGCAAGGAATGGCCCATTTCTTCCTTTCGCGGCCGAACTGACATGGTGACCGGTCGTTTTGATAAGAGAGGCGACTGAATGACGACCTAGTATGTGCCTGGCTACCAGAGTCAAGGCTTGACAGTTGGTCCGAGTTGGGGTGCGAGACTGCGTGGCAACCACCTCTATAGCCATACCCCTCAGAGTGAGCTGGTTGGCTGAGGGGCGCAGGGGTGCGCATCGTGATCTCCAAGCTCCAGAAGATGCAGCAAGCGGCTGCTCGGAAGAGGAACTACAGATGAAGTGGGTTACCGTGGGTGAAAATCAGTTGGAAAAGAGAATGATAGATTTGATGTGGAGTGTGTGGTAGACATTGGGGGGGCCTCCAACGGTTCTGGGGTTGTATTCAATCTCTGACTGCTTGCACTCGTGGGACCTCGGGTGTCGTAGCACCACACTGATCCATAAATGTAACATTGGCAAAATAGCATGAAATTATAGCTGACCGCTATCAGGCCATGGGTAACTCACAGTGCAACTGACTACAAACATGGTGTGTGTGTGTGTGATTGTGCGTGCTTTGTGAAAGTTCCACATGTTCGAAGTTAGGACATTTGGAGAAAGAAGCTTTACATCTCATTGAGAACATGAGCCGATGACCAGAGACGTGTGACAACTTTCTCGGGGGTGTCTATAAATCCTTTGAGCTCCAGGATTCTCGAAACAAGTTCAGCTCACTGCCTGGGTCAGGCTAAATCTTGAACAGGTTTGTACCAGCACCAGCCAGTTCGGATGCGTGGTTATTGGATTCATGGAAGACGGGTCAGGACCTTATCTTTCAGCCACCCGTTGTGGGTACCAGGCATAAGTGCAGACACCTTCGAAAGCCGAGATTCGGCCAACAGGAAAAGAGTGTGTTTGTTGTAACTTCCTTCGACAAACCGTCCTCGGCCGGGGGGGAATAGACCATTATGCTTTATCAGACTCTTGAACGTTTCAGCCTAACAGGGCGAAGAGAACCGAACCGGACGTCGCCGTTGACGTCGGAGAACCCAAGGTCACGGCCGAGGAGGTGCAATCGTTCGACCGGGATGGGCGAAATCCGGATGGAGATAAGTGAGATCAGATAGGTGAGTCGACCATCCCGGGATTCAATTCATTTTGGAGTCCCAAAAAGTTGGACTTGAGGAGCAGTTCTGGTAGATTGGAGGGAGTTTGAACAAACTTACTTGAACTATGTGGACTTCAGGTTGATTCTAGTCATGGAAGGACGAGTGGGATAGCACCAGGCTTTCTCTGAACGCCTTCCGAGTAAAGGGGAGAAGGTGGGCATGTTTCAGAGTCCTCCAAGTCTATCTAAAACATTGTCTCCAATCACTGGTATCTGGATCCTTCATGATCCTTCAGCATTCAGGTAAAAGGAGTCTCCTCCATCTTCTGTAGTGTAGGATCTCGTTCTGCAGGATAGGAAAGGCAGCAAAGATTGGTGAGCCAGTCAAGCCTTTGGGTTCCTCTCCTGACCGGAAGAAGCGTTTTCATGTTTTTGCTGATCCAAAGTGGATATATATTAATATATATTGGTTGCCACAACGACATCCCATGTCGAATATACAGTATACATTAATAATCATGTACAGTACATATACTTGCAAAAATATAGCACAGGTAGAGTCAGGCAAAGGCAATTGTTTGGAAGCAAGGTGGTGAACATCTTGGCGAAATGCGCGTCGAAAACATACACTGCCTCTCCGGCACCTGCCTCGGTGATCCTTCTGATTCCTGACCTCGGTTCTTGACGGTGTTTGGCGTGGCATCACCGGACAGGACCAAGGTCTGGTCAAACCACCTGATCGGTTACATCTCTTACTGCAGAGAGGAAGTTAATCGTTGTCTTTTGATACTCTAGATGCTCCTGGATGCTTCCCTTTATTTTTGGTGCTATTGCAAAATCAACGGCGGACACCTCTCTTACACAAACAAGTTTGTTTCGGCTGCAATTAGAGATCTGCTCCAAACCAATTCTTTGCTTCAGCCACTGCATCCACCAAGGAAATCCTTCAGTTTCGTGACCAGTTGTGCTCCTTCAGTCCGACCGGTATCCGCGTCGGATTGGACGACGCTGCAGGGCTTCGCCCGGGTGCGCCTTTGCCGCGCGCCCGAGCTCCAAGCGGAGCTGGAGCGCTACGGGGAGAAGGCCAAACCGGTGGTGTTGAAGAGTCATCTATAGAGTATATATTGGACTATACCTGGACACTATCCAAGGTACCTCAGAAAATGGGACAAGACCCTGTAAAAAACAGGTGTACCGTGTACCATTGTGTACCCATTTTCTGGGGTCCAACCAGTGCTCGGTGTGATGAAATATGTGACCACTAGAGCTGGATGTGTTACCAGACTCGGTGCTTGAATGGCGCCACTCTCAATTGACTCGATTGAGGCTTCCAACTTCCACAGTTGAAGTGAAGGCCATTTCATGCTGAATTCAAGACCCATCTCTTTACCCCGCTCGCCACGAAAGCCACACCATGGCGTCACCAGCCCTGCGCCGTGGGCTACGCTTCGTCCTCGCGGTCGCCCTCGCGGTCGCGCCACTGCAGCGGTTGAGCACCTTTGTGGCGCCAGCCACGGTGTCGGCGCCCACCGCACGGCGGGTGGCGCTGATTGCGGTGGGGCTCGGTGTGGAGTCGTTTGCAGCGCCAGCCTGGGGTAGTGGTGCCTGTGATGCCAGTGATGTGGAGAAGTATCAGATGCTTACATATGTGAAGATGATGGTCTCCATAAGGTTTTTTTGGGGGGGGTGGTTCTAGAACGAGCCTATGGAATGAAAGAGGTGTCAAGGCATGTCAAGGCTTGCTTATCAGCTCAGGAAGTTGAAGCCTCAGTGGGACGAGGAAATGAAGAAGTTCCTTTTTGAAGATCCTCCAGGTGGTACCTGGGAAGACCGCTGTATCCGACGCTTCGGGAGTTCTCAGTATCCAAAGGATGAAGGCCAGAAGTGCATGGCCAAGCGCGTCTCTGAAGGCACCGGCCTCTCCGCCGGATGCGGGCTCTGCTGGGGAAAGCTGGCGCAGTGCACCTACGACAATTGCGCCTTGCCAATGATTCAGTTGGACGTGAAAGGTGATGGGACGACGTGTTCCCGCGAGTGGAGGTTAAGGGACAACGGTGATGATGAAGCCACGACCCGCGGGTGAGTTAGAAGTGATCATGGATGTTTAATGATTTTTGAGTGGGAATTCCTGGAAGATGACTGAGGTGAAGCTATGTGAAATCTTGATTTGGATCTCTAGATTGTCACAGATATTGGGAGAAACACCCCAAATCATCCCAAGAGACACCTCTTTCGCACCATTTCGCACCAGCCTGAGAAGACGCCTCTTTCCTTCCCACCAGGTCCATCCCGCCGTTGAGCCGTTTTTTGCGGAGTTCGCAACCCGGCAAAGACAACAAACAGTGGTCGGAACATGTTCCGACTTCTTTTTTCCAGGTGCGTCCCTATGCCTTGATGCAAAGTCTCAAAAGTGCCAGCAATGTATCTCTGAGAAGTGCGCCACGAACTTTGAGCAATGCTCTGGCATCAAGCTTTGAAGGGTAAGATGGGATTCCTCTTGAGCTGCAAGCCATGATCTGGATAGGGGTGAACGGTCTCGGAAAGACCCAAAAATACACCCAACATATTGTTTGTTTTCGAGGCACCTTGGGCAGTGTGGAGGGTGCAATGTGTTGTTCTCCTTTTGGTTTTCACACCGAGCTGTCACACTCGTTTGTTTAATCAACCCTGCCGATGAAGCTATTGGAAGCTATTGTTTGTCTTGCAGTTGTTCGGAACCTGAGATCCAGGAGATCTTCACTCTTCACCAGAGTCAGAAGAAACTCGGACGCCAAATCTGGTGCCTGATTCTTCTTCACCATGAGACCCTGGGAAGGACTATGAGTTTAGAATCCATCTTTGGTGCCACCCGAGCCCAGCTGAAAAAATGCCGTAACATGGTGCGCGCTGAGTGGTGGATTTGGTGGATGACGTGTTTTGGGTCTTCCTCCGTAAACTGTTTGCAATTTGCCATCCCCCACCGTGTGAAAAATGTTTTTTGTTTGTTTCTACTGGTTGACCTTTGTGTTCACCCAGAGTTTCTATTAGGGGGTCAGAGTGCATAACATAGATGGTTACAGACCATTCTTTTTGAGGTTGATATAACTTTGATGGGTTTTGTTGTGTGCGACCTTTTCAGAGCCCTGGACCCGGGTCGGAAGCCTGTTTGACGTCTCAGAGATTTTGGAAGCTTGGCCCTGTAGGAGCTGTTGGCACAATCCCATTCTTAATTTAGTTCTTAATTTTACTCACAACCAAACCAGTGAAACCAGGAGGCTGTAGCTTGATCCAGGCAGTTAGATGCAGAAGTCAGAGCTCCAGATGAGCTTTGTAAAATAGTTTTTGACCCGAACCCTGAAGCCTTCGCAGATTTGCTGCAGTTTCAATGCATAGCCATACCTGGCTTGTGATACTACTTCATAGAACCCCAAACAAGAGATCCTGCACACTTTAAGGAGGCTCCTTGCAACAGCCATGTCAATCTGACACCTTCGAAAACCCAAAGTACAAGACACATTGTTTCTGATCCTCCGCGGCGGAAACCACAGGACATTGGTTTGTCAGCGAGACAACAGGCTGAATCGACTTGTAGGGATTGGTCAAAGGATGTCAGAGGGAAGATCTACTGTACTGGAAACCCATGGTATTGGTCCCCAAAACTATGGATTTCCTGTAGACAGTAGATGTTTTGTTCAACCAATTCTGGGATGCCAAGCCACACAAAGCCAGTCAGGTATAGTGAGCCATTTGAGTATGGACATGGACCTGGTGAAGGATGGTGAAGGGGTTACACTCCCGAAAACAAACATGGACCCGGGTCGAATGGCACCCTGAAAGCTGGGTCCCTCATTCCCCAACTCCTAGCAGTCAGCCATCTTTTGCCTATGCAGAGGTTCGATGATGTTGTGGAAGAGAAACACATCGACTTAAAATTCAATATATATATATATATAACAATGGTGGGGGATTCTCTACTCTAAGCCGCACCCATATCATGGTAGAGCTGTGAACGCGAATACTCTTGCCCTTGCCATGGCATTCTCTCGGGCGGTCCTGCGTGTTCCAGGCGCCCATTTTTGGGTCGGCAGCTGTGTGGAAGCTATGACTCCTACCCAAACAGATACTAGTAGCTTCTTGTTACTAGTAGTATGGCCAGGAGCCCCTAGTACGTAGCGTCCTTGCTCCTAGTAGTAAGGCCAGGAGCCCCTAGTAGCTTCTTGTTACTAGTGAATGTTTTATAATGTTTGTCTCTCGAACAGTATTCTGGATTCTCCTAGCTGGCGGTCACGGACCTCAAACAGCTTGAGAGTCACAACACGTCTGGTTGTTGTCTTCAGACTCCAGAGCTGTTTCGTAGGCAATTAGCTCCGGCCGGCATCCGATGCCCACAAGCTGTCCTTGACCATAAGCTTTTTGAATCGTTTTGCTGGGGAAGGACAGATCGAACCGGACGTTGACAGCCAGAGCTTTCCAAACCCAGTGGTTCCACTTAACAGGAACACATAACCATACAGTGGTTCATATGCATCGTTTTGCTGTAGAGTCAGAGTTGGAACATGTTGGAACATTTCTTCACGATTTCAGGGGTTTACTCATACCTTCTCAGGTTCGGTATACCCTCCTGGCGCCACCCATGCTTCGTCTCCAATTGTCCTTCTCAGGTTCGGTATGTGGTTCCAACTGTTAAGTGGTATGGGTCCAACATGTTGCAAAGACTTCAAACCTGATCGGCCCCAACGCTACTCTCGAGACTTCACCCGGGTTCGGCGGCTGGGGCGGCTGCCCTACTGGCGTCGGACGGAGAATGCGAAGTTGCTGTCTAGCTTCATATGCTGGAAGAGTCGTTGAACATGAAGATCCTGCAGTTTGAGGTTCTGTAACTCTGTGTCTTGATCTCTCGATGATGGGTATCAACAGCTAGATCTATAGGTACAGCTAGGAGATTGCTGCCCTTCGCTTTTCCAGGTGCTCCTGGGCTTTCTGTGCGGCGCTCTAGCCTGCCACTCTTTTCAAGACGGGGCCTTGTTGTGGTCGATAGTGGTGAGGGCAAGAAGGTCCACCGAGGTGCAGTGCAGAAGCATTGGGGTAGGGCCTCCAGGGCCCCTTGTTAGTACCGAAATCAAGAAGAGCCCCTGGTTGGTAACAGTTGGAGGGCCTCCCAGTCATTCCCAGTTCTTTGTGTTTTATGAACTTTACACACAACTGCATGTGCATCTCTCCATCAAGACGCACCATGAGATTCACAATCAAGATGATTATTTGTCCTGTTTGTTGATCATATGTTCTGATTCTATAGAGAGTCATGTTGTGAATGGTTGTGTCTTTGCCGCTTGGGTGCTTTGATTCTATAGAATTATAGAGAAGCACATTTAGATGATTTCTGCATTTGGAGCTTGCTTTCTTCAATTCTATAGAGAGATAAAGAAATCTATAATGGCTGGCAGAAGCTGGCAGGCCAATCAAGACCAACTGAATCCTTATAGAACTGAACATTTAGTTGGAAAACACTTTATTCATTATTCCTGATAGAATTGAAGCACCTACGGCCCTTTCTCTCACGCGTGGATTCCAAAGGTTTGCCATGACCTGCCCGGGTTTAAGGACAGGTGGTAATCTTAGGGGCCTAGAATGGCCTATCTAGATATTGTCTTAGAATGGCTTAGGTCTCTCTTCCTTGTACTCTAAGAGTCACCAAGTTTTCCCAAGGTTGAAGTTTATGGAAATCAAGGGCTTGGGAAGCTGCCAGCTCATGAGGGAAAGACCCAGAAGCTTCAATTCTATAAGGGGCAACTAAATGGTCAATTCTGTAGAGGTTGTTTTGAGGTGCAGGGGGGGTCACTCAGGGTGATTCTTGGCTGGCAGAAGCTGGCAGGCCAATCAAGACCAACTGAACCATTACAGTATAGAATTGAACATGTTTCCCTAGTCTGTGCAGCACAGGTTAACCGCACAACAAGAAGCAGAAGAGATACAAAAAAAGGGGCGCCCACAAATGCTCACAACAAGGGCCTCTATAGAACTGAAGTGCCTGACAGCAGAGCCCTCCCCTACAAGATAGAAACTCTATAGAAATGGAGACCCCGGCATTGCAAAGAGGTGATATGTTCACTCTTTAAGATTGAAGAACCACCGCCAAGAAAAGCCAGCCCTCCAGGACAGCAAAACCTTTATGTTGTGGCTCCCCATTCTTTGAAGGCCATTTCAGACTCTGACCTGTTCATCAATAACTTGGGTTTCCTAGTCTATAGGCAAAACAGTCGAGCGTGACGCATGTTTAAACTTGCTGGTCCTGGATTCTATAGAGGTGCATGTTTGAATGAACCTCATGACATCTGATTCTATAGAGGGCCCCCCCCTACACGGAGGTTGGGTGCTCCATTTTATGTCTATAGAATTGGTGACCATGAGATATCGGCTTAATTTCAAACAGGATACTTTAGTCTCTGATTTTTTCCGCTCCAGGATTTGTAAATAGTGCTGCAATATATTCGAAATAGCTCTGCCTTCCTCACAGAAGCTAACATAAGCTAACGCAAGTCGCCATGCGCAAAAACCAGGACCTTCCATTTGCCCTGTCGTTTTTGGACACCCCGAATCACCTGTAAGAGGCTATTCATAGACACCTCTTGGTGTCGGTCCGGGGTATAGATACATTGGTTGGACACTTCAAGAAACGTGCGCCTTTGGTGGTTTTTCCATCGCTTTTCGCTTTTGTGAGGCACGGCTTGGGTGTCTTCGTGGAGCAGCGCTTCGTGCAGGGCCAAACCATCGAAACCTGTCCCTGCTTGTGGGTGGCGATGCTTGGCGATGGACATACGCTCAGCTGGAAGAACTCATTGGTGACGATGGGATGGCATGGACCAAATCCGAAGACCAAACGGCGAAACCGGTTTTCACTCCGACCCGGATGATCTGTAGGGGGTACACGTTTGGTGTTCTGGCCCAATTAGTAAAGCAAAGAGGCTTTTGTGCGGCACGACGAAAATTCTGCGACTGGGAAAGGCTGACTAGCACTCGAAGTGACATTACCCTCTGACTAGGGAGAAGTGCCAATGCTTTTGGATTGAACGGACGCAATCCATTGATGAAGGACGTCTAAGAGGTCTTCCATGGAATCCTCATTTCAGAGGAGTGATAACACAAATTGATTCTGTTGATCCCACACTGGTTCCACTACAAAATGCAGACCTCTTCCTCTTATAAAATGATGAGACCGACCCTCATTTCATAAAGATCATTTTGGCGCCTAGAGGAAAAAACGAGGAGGTTGGCTCGAGGAAAGGGAGTAATTTGAAAAAACAAGGTATGGAGCCAAGCAGGTGGAAAACGGAAATTGACACAATCAAACACAACAAAGCGATCGGATGGATTTTTTTTTTCAGCTCTATATATGTGGATTGGTGGAAAGCAAGATGACAGGTGAAAGGTTGAATATTCATGTTGTAGAACACGGTGTTGGAAGCCATGATTTTGTGGAACCCGCAGCGTGTGAAGATGATGTGGATCAATTGATGAACAAACATGGTAAGATTTGCAATTGTGAACAATAGACAAAGGTAAGAGTTGGCAAAGGAAAAAGACAGGGCAAAACAAGTGAACATAAATTAACATCACACAATTGACCTTCTGTAGAGCCTTCAAGACAAGGAATAGTATTTTTAGACTAGAGGTAAGCAAAAGTGGGGGAAGCGTTTCTTGCAAACCGATGCAAAGCATTGATTCCCTTCGGCTTGTTCGTGGGTCCGTATGTTTTCGCAGTCAGTTCGTTGAGAAACCAGAGATATTGCACTGAACAGAATTCAAGGGCGTCAAGTTGAAAATCGGACACTTGCAAGGGGGCTCAAGAAAAAGAAGCGAACCGCAGTTGTTCGTGCTTTTGGTTTTGCATGTGTTCCCATGTCCCAGTCTGTCGGAATCTGTATGTTGTATGTTAGTTTTTGAGACCAACCAGATGTTCATTTTTCGTTATATATATATGTGGTTAGTTTTAATTTTGTGTCAAAAACACAACTATGAGATTGGTTCAAGCATTCTATAAGTGCCAAAATTGTTTCAAGTTTTTTTTTATAAGGAGTCGATGTCTCTTGGCAATCTGGGCAATGTACCAGTTTGCTGTGAGTTGTGTGCCATTTTATGAAAACTTATCGGTGTTTGTGTGTCATTTGATAGAATATGGCAAATCTAATGTAAAATGCAACACGGCAGACCACTGGGAGATACTGGGAGTAGTAAGGGGGGGTTTCTGTTGTATATCTCGACGAGTTGTGCAGGCTGTGGACCCCCACGATACCACCCCCACTTGGACCATGTCCACCTGACGCACACACTCGGGAAAAGATTCGTTCGAACTAAATGCAATTTTGTCCGCTTCAGTGGCCTAAGTAATGCAAGAGGTTCAAAAAAACTAGGGTTGAAGTGGAGCGGCGTTTAATCATCAACAAAGAACCAAAGGTTCAAAGCTCCAAAGATCCAAACATCCAAAACCAAACATCGAACGAGAAAACCGAGCGACGAGTGCGAGTGCACGTGTATGCAGAACTCACACCAGTGCAAAGTTCAGCAGTTTGTTCTAGTTAGAAAGGCCCATTGGGTAGTGTCAAGCCATCACAAGCAGGTACAAGTGGTTGATCAGACAACTACGCCATAGCTTCGTTGGACTGGATAAGCAAATCGGCTCCAGCCCCTCTGCCAAAACATGCCAAGCGGGTCCCAGTGACTTCATGGGGTTCACGCGCACACACAAATGTGATTCGAACGTCTCCCGCCATCGTGTAAGATGTGTGGACATGTGTGGAACAGTGAAACAGCATGAAGCAGGTGTCTTTGAGGTCAGTTGTACTTCTTTTGAACCGCCAAGAAAGTGGGAAGGGTGTGTGGACATATGTGGACAGAACTTTCTCAGGAAAACCTCATTGGGCGAGACCGTCTCGCCCAGCGGAACGCCGTCCACAGTGGAGCTGTTGGACTATCTCTACGCCCCGGGTCGCCGAGGCTGCCGGTGCAGTCCAAGGCCTAATGTTTCAAGACCCCTGTTGCGTTCTTGTTCCTAGTAGCCTGAAGTGCAACATCCTTCCTAAAGCAATGGTTGTTGGGTCATGTTCGCTCTCTCACTTGCGGGCGCAAACTCTCGCGCATCCAGGATGCTTGGAAGTGTAAGGCTACTTTTCAAGAGTTCGGATATGGTCCGGTCACGAAGGTATTCTTCTGCAAGAGCTGGAGACTGGGACACTTTGGAGACGAGATCTGGATCGTCCAATCCAAAGGCTAGGGAAAGACAAGGGAGGTTTTGCAAGAGCTCTGATCTTCACCCCACTCCGCTTGCTTCCCGCGGTCAGGTGCAGAGACTCAGGATTTGGGGGGGATGTGCGGCTGGGAGCTGGGAGTGTCAGAGAGAGAGAGAGGTTGGATACTGTGGATTTAGGGGATTTAGGAGCAGTTCCATAGGAGCAGTTCCATTCCAAGCACAGCGTGCGAGGCTACCAGGATAGGTCGGATAGGACTTCCCCCTGCTAAAGACATGTTCCCCGGCCGGGCGGAACCGTGCCTCGGCCGGCCTGGCCCGCGAGGACCGGCTCCTGCTGCCCTTGGGCTTCGGTCGGGCTGCCCGAAGCAACGGCTAGACCTGAAGGGTAGGAGCATCCGATTCCCCGGGACTGCATATATATATATATATTTATATTATATTTATATGGGCACATCTGATGCACATATGGCCTAGCTTTGGTGGTGTAGGTATGTGTAATTAGATCATGATACAAGAATCCCGGCTGGGCCCAGAATTCCCGGATGCGGTGTTACTGTTGGAAGGAATCCAACATCCGAGAATGAACCCCCTTATGGCTGGGACAATGAACTTGGTTCCCACTCGATGGCTAACTCGATGCAGGATTTCCAACCCATCAAATCATGGACAACTTCAAAGCCCAGGAACGACCTGTTTGGGACTGCCATGGGACTGCCAATCAGTTGGGGTCCCTTTCCTGTGACGTTCCTTTTTGCAAGCTGTGGGACTTGATCACTGGATGAGGAGCGACTTGACTGGCGAATCACTCAGTGTTACTTCGAGTTGAACCTGAGAACTCAATCTGGGGGTGTTGGGCAGCAAGAACACCTAGCAATGGATGTTCACCGTTCATCTATTTTCACGCTCCATGATGGCTACTCAGAAGAAAGTGTCCAATACTTCGGGACTTTGCTGTGAAATAGGAAGTCGTGCTGCTAGTTTGTAGGCTGTTGCAAGAAAAAAAACTCAATAGGAGACACTCCAAGCAGCGAGGCATCAGCCTCCCATGCTCCGCAGACTGCCACCCCCACAAACATTGGTGGACACCACAAATTACACGCGTGACGGAAGGAGTGCCGATGGCATCAACTGCAACAGGCCTCTCCTACAATCACGGGGAGAATTGCAACGCCACCTACAAGGCTCGCTCTCGACTGGAAGAAGGAGCCCCAGCGACAAGGCTCGCGTGGTGAAACCACGACAACTTTCGTTCCTGTTCCTTCTTTGTAGATCGTCTGGAGAAGGAGGCACCACAAAAGAATGGAGCTGGTGGCTGGTGTTGAAGTGTTTTTTTGGGGCAAGATAAAGACACTTGCTGTTGCTGAGTAGTCGTGCTCCAATGGAAACAGAAAAGTAAGTGGTGCAACCCGGAACCAGCCACAAGATGTCATAGACTGTTTGGAATAGCTTCCCGTGTTCACTTAGGCTTCCTATTGTTTGTAGCTGGTTTCGGACACAACATTTGACCAACTACTCTGAAATGTGAATAGCTTGTTCTGCCCACCATCGCCACCGCCCACCATCGCCGGAGGGGGTCGAACTCCGTCATTCGTGGTACCTCGACGACGAAGCTTTATTTGCAGCAGGAAAAACACATTGAAAACAACGAAAAACTTATAGGGGTGAACAAGTTAATATGATATAAGATTATATAAGCATGTCAATGTATAAGCCCTCAGTCCCTGAAAATCTGATTTGATAGCCTGTCCGACCGATTCCGTAGCCGTGTATACTGTATACCCCTCACCCATTCGGTATACCGGGAATGTTTCGGAGAACCTGTGGGGTCGGTTCTTCAGAAAACACCACCAGAAGCACCAGCAAGTCTGTGGTTTTCCACCAAGTTCCATATCCTTCTAGGAACGGTAAATTCTCTTCATTGTTCCTCATGTCTTCTGAAGCTGTGTGGAGACAACGCAAAAGCGGAGATGCGTGACCTCGCAGGTCTATCTTGAAGATCCACCACTCTTGGTCTTCCGGGCTTTGCGCGACCTCGCTGTGGGCGAGGCACCCGGTTTTTGACGCTGCACACCTTGGGCGGTTGGGCCAGGGCGCGCTGCAAAGAAGGCCAGGGCGCCATGTTGATGAATGGTGCTTAAGACAGTTGGGCAGCTCTGAAGGGGTCATGCATGAAGGTGGAGGCACATCTATACCTTACTACCAGTGACCCTCCAGCACCAGATGTTCTGGAATTGGATCCTGAACACCTTGCACCACCGACTTGTTTGCAACATGGTCAGCTTGAGGAGTACATCCGGTGCCTCAACCAACCCTTTTTGGATGTCAACCCAGGGCGGGGCGGGTGAGGGCGGCTCAGGGTAACTCTGACGAACACATCACATGGAAGTGGAGTTCCCTATTTGTATGTCATCCATTTCCACGCTAGTGAGTCAGAGTGTATGCCTTTTACATCTCATCTCCACATCATCTCTGAACATTTGCAAATCTGCTCAGCTTTTGCTTTCGCGTGGCCGCACATCGCATCCAACGTGTGGTCTTTCCAACGGATCAACACCTGATCCGCAAGCATATTAGTAGCGATGCCCTTGTTACTAGTAGCTTCTGTCTGGCATAGGAGTCGAACGAGCACCACAGAGGATTCAATTCAGTTGTATAACAGACCTGGGGTGTGAACGTTCGTGGGGGACTTCCTACACCGCAGCATCCCAAATCTCATGAGCCCCCTCCCTTTAATGAACTTAATGCTCGACTACTGGCAGGTAACAGCCATCCTTAATGCGTCGGGCAGATGGAATTTCCTGAATTCTCTTCTTGTCCGACGCCTTAGGAGGTGCTCATTGACTACGGTGAGGCTGCGGGAGAGAGTGAGAGAGTCGATTGGCCAAAGACCAAGTGAGCACAAGCAAACACAATGCACCTCTTGGTCTTGGTACCAGATCCTGAGGAGTCTCGTTCATTTCCATGCGTTGGTCTTCGCCAGAACTGGCAGAACTCGCATTCGACTCGACTCGACTGGTGCCAGAGACCTTTTGCCAACTATGATGTGGAAAGTACCCGAATCAAACATGGAAGTGGATGCTCCAATTTTTGTACGAGGAAAATGCTCTTCCAAGGCTCCAAGGGGGGCTATTGTCTCTGGCTTGCAATGAATTGTTGCAGGGAGAGTCTCCAAGAATCACAAACGGATGCAAGACGAACCCCGTGTTCTACGGAACCTTGTTTTCAGGCTTTTTCTCTTTTTGGTAAGTCCAAGCCTGATGGTGTGGAGACATGTTGCGGAGTCGCTCCGAAAGCCCCGCTCCAGCCGTTGGGTCTCCAAAATCAACCCAAAGATCGGTTTTTTGCTCCACGGACGTCCACACCTGCTGAGTCACACGCCCGTCCAGGACTGGTGGAGGAATCGCGGCTGGCGGCCCTTGTCGCCCGGCTTCGCGGTCTTTCGACGCAGCTCCGTCGGTCGCGACAAAAAGGGTGCGTCAGTCAGGGCTTCCGCTGCAGCTGGGCACTTGGAGGATGGATTTCTTCGCAAAGTGGACTGGAGGGGCCAGATGCCTGAAGACGAAGGGGTCGACCCATGTAAGTAGAGGAATATGATCTATACTGGGGTCTATATTCCACTAGCTTATATGATTCTTCATGATTCTTGTTTTCCGGAGGGTCAGGCAGACAATGGAAAACACACTTGTTTAGCTACAGGACTACATGAAGTTGTTTGTTGTTGGACACTCGCACCTTGGGCCTTGTCGGGCGTGCTGCTGCGCCAACCAACGCAGCAGGGCCTTTCCATGGCACAGCCATGAGAACTCACGTCTGACCATCAGGTCTACCAGGTCTACGAGGCCTGCATCAGTTCAAACAACGGTCTACCAGGACCTCTGACAGGTCAGTGTTCCTCAAGACCACCCTTGTGAGGTGACCGGTTAGCGGCGAGCGGAATCATGGAAGAACTATACCTTTAAGGGCAGCTCGATAAATGAACATCCTAGTGTGCAGCTACCTTCAGAACATGGTGTGGGATCTATAGTTCTTTAGGTTGCTTCCATTTTGTTTGGATGCCCTCTATGGTAAATGTACTGTGAGTTTGGCGACAAAGTTCATCATAGACGCTTATTGAATATTCCGAGTGCTATGATGGAGATGTGTCACCAGCTATGTGTCTTCTGACTGGGTGTAACCCAGCAAACCAGTCATTATTTATGAGAAAGGCCTACAACATTAATCATCACCATCCTAGTAATGGGAAAACCGTTTACTGTAGCCAAATTATAGGACCCAGACACTCCATGGGACTGCAATCCTTACATTCACCCCGTGATGTCAACCCCCGTAACTGATCAGTCGCCAGTCCCAGTCAAGGTCCTGTTTGGGTGAGTTACACTCGGTCCGTCATGGGTTTCGTGGAGTGAGTCGGGGCCATGCCACCCATGTAACCATGACTCGACATCAGGGAGTGTCATCAACCTTTAAATGTGGATCTTTTGTCATGCGCCAGGCTCCGCAAGCTCCCAAAGAGACGGAGCCAGGTGGTCATGCGACGTGTGCCAGTTTGGGTTTGGTGACTTTAAGAGCTGGAAAGACTCAAGGGAAGAAGGTATAGATTTATATTATACAATATAAACTATATCCCAAGCTTCTCAGTGTCTTCTGGCAATTCCGTCTATTATTGCTTCTCCCAGCAGTTTTGCATGGAATCGGTTGCCAAGTGGACTTCCTGGCGTGATATAGGCCGATCTTGACATCTGGAGAAATCTTGAGATGCAGAGATCCAGCTACAAATCATTTGTCTTCTCCCAGCCAAGACTCGGCCAGGCTCCTCCGGCGCCGAGAGCGACCTGGCACGGAAGGCCCGAACGAATCGGCCGATCCGCGGTGCAAGCCGCACGATGGTGGGGGGAAAGAAAGTGGAAAGGAATGTGAAGAAATATGATGAAAAGATGACATCGCAGTTCTTTTTGCTGGTTGTTTCCTGGTTGCCTTCGAATTGATGTTGAGAATTCTTAGGTGCTGTAAAGTCGCAGATTTCGCAGATCAGGCAAGTAAATTGGGAAGCTCTCTTCCATGGAATGCACCTTCAGGAATGCCTAGAGACCCAAACACGTGCAGACCGTCAGTTTGGACGCTGAAACCCGTAAAAAGACTCCGACACCACACCAGCCTGTTTGGTATTCGGAACATCATTTTCCCACAGATCATGCCATCCACTTCCACCAAGTGATGTTTGTTTTTGTGTACTTACTCTGAAGCTGTGGCCCTCAAGGGATTGATGTCACAGCTTGATCGCGTCCCTCGTGGTCAAAGTCACAAAAACGAATCCTTCACTTCACGGCGTGCAGAAGTGTCCCTTAAGTGAGAAGAAGCAGCCCAGTCTCGATTTCGTGGTCTCCCAGTCCTCTACCGAGGACAAAGGCACGGAATGTTCAGCTCGGGTAACCCGCGATTCGCCGGTGGATCATTGGAATAGGTTCCGTTCCTTCGGTTCCTTGGCCGTTCACACCAAGGAACGGCACACAGAAACAAAACCACCGACTCCAGTCTTTGCAAACGTTGACTCAGTCGAGGGTCATTCACTTTGATCTTCCAAGTGTGAGAAAGCCTCAGCATATAGTAGAAATCAACAGAATACCCCCTGCGTCCCTGACTCTAGCAAAGCTCGCTGATCCTGTTCCCGAAATTGGCTTCACGCGAAAGCAGCATGAGAAATCCCATTCACGATTATATAGACAAATAACACTATATTGCGCCAATTGCAAAGTATATCATTGATGGTATATGCATGTAATGTGTATTGTGTCTTTTCTGTGGTCACGTGAAACCTCTGTCCTTACAACAGAAGTACATCCAGCATCAAACCAAATACCCTCATCTCTCTCAGCTGCCAGGTGATCTTGTTGCAGTCGCTTGGCTTCCCTGAAGCGTCCTGCCGCAAAGCCTTGGAGGCCGAGCGACGGCATTGGAAAGCGCTGAACGGTTTCTTTTTCGTCGCTCGCGTGCGGGAAGGGCACGTCGATATTCGAGTCGTATACCAATGAATTTGATGGATCTATATAGTACATACACAGTTCGACCGAAAACGCTGACCGATTCTTCCCAAGCTAATTACATGCATCCAAATCATTTTTGCTGATTAGAATTACCATTTCGCACCGTGGCCCTTTTTATTGGCGGTGGACCGTCCGTAGTTAGTCGGCGCCTAGGTGCATCTCGAACCAACCTAAACAGACCAACAAAACCCAAGCCCCCGAACATGACGCCCCTTTCTTACCAAGAAACCCCGCTTTGCAAAGACCAGACATGGCCCCTTTTCAGGCCTCCAAAGGCGATCCCGATGCAGCCGCCAATCAGCTCTTGGCCGAGCGCCTCACCGACGGTGCGACATGCTGCGACTGAGACGGACCGAATTGATGCGAAGGAAGATCGTGACGAAAAGAAACCAACAGCGTCACCGGAGCAGATGGAGAAATGTGGGAGGATGTGCATGGGGTAGATGACAGCAGTACTACTGTAATACTGAATAAAACTACTCCAAGAGGGACGGACTGGCGGTTTTGTTGGCGGATGTTTGTGGCGCTGCCAGCATCGGCCACCGGTGGAGGATGGCATGCGACACCGTTCGAAAAATTGGTTTCCGAAACGGCCCACCTGGATGATAGAAATGATCGGATCATCCTGGGGAGTCTGATTGAGGCAAAGGTGTGGAATGCATGATAGGCCAGGCTAATCCGGGCGGCAACTCCTGAGGTCAAGAAAGGTACACGTGCAGCACTGGATGGATCCAAACCTTTTGATGAACGCGTGCCTTCTTGGACAGGTGCAACTTTGTCCGATGATGTGTAGTCCTTTTTGGGCTCGACAAACCTTGCCTGCCAGCCAGCACCCGCAGACCGTGAGTCATGGGGTGTTGCCATGGTGGATTGCATGAGAACGTCGAGCGCACAAGCAGCATTAACACGGCAGAGAGCATCAGAGGATCCTTCCAGCTTTGGTCGCATGGCGGACAGTCCTGTGTGGTCGATGCAAATCACCGGGGTCTTTCGTTTCGCATGAGAAGACGCCAGGTTGTGCTGCATGGAGAAAACGCTCAAATGGACAAACTAGCCAGTTTCCCATCGTAATAGCGGACGCAAAATGACGCAAACCTCAACGTGATTACTGTCCATGTCCTGTGTGGAAAATATGTGTTTCTTTTTAAACAACTCAAAAAAAAAAATATATCTTGATCATTCTTATCCGACTTATCCCAAGACAAGACAGTTTCACCAGCCTACTGTAGTTGCTAAGTAAAGTAAAGATCCGTTTTCGGATGTGGAATCACTTGGTGAAGTTCGCGTGGTCGACATCTGGTTGGAGGCTCACCCAATCCCTCACTGCTCCCTCACTGCTCGGGTCGTGGAGGTCTCCCTTCAGAGGGTTCCCAACATGGTTCTTCGACATCTTCATGCTGGGAAGACCCATGTATTATCTCACTGCTAACATTAAATGTTGCATACAAGTTTCATCGATTTTACATCATATTGTGAAGCAGAGGCATGAGGGAAACTCCCACTATAGATTCAGCCCCCCCTTCCTCCCAGTGGGACATGTGAATGATTCACTTTTTCCCAGGAAGTGGCCCCATGTTCCTTCCGGACATGCAGCCCCGCCCAACCGCCGGAGCCATGAAAAGCACAAGAGACGCCTTGGCAAATGGATCGACTTTAGACGTCGACTCGAGTTACTAGCTTCTTGTTATTATACGTAGTAGTAAGGCCAGGAGCTACTAGTAGCGTCCTTGCTCCTAGTAGCGATGCCCTTTGTTCCGTAGCTTTTCTGAGCTCTTCTGGGTGGTGATTTCTTCGACTCGGTGCTTTTTTGAAGCCAAGAGGGCAGTGAAGGATAGTGAAGGATCAAGAGAGTTTTGATATGTTTTGACCCCAATGTCGGCCCTGACTCGATAACAGGAAGGTGGAATGTACACGACGGGCTGCGCTTCCAAAATAAATCGTTCAAGGCCTGACACCTTCGCCTATTCCCGGGATAATGTTCTTTGTGTCACTTCCATGGGTTGCAAGTTTGGGACTTTCAAAGGGGTCTCACTACCCAGACACTCCATGGAATAGTTAAGTACCTGCATTATCCTACATTGGGGGGGCACCATCCATGGTGACTGGAACCCAGTCCCATGGATGGTGGATAGAAGGGGGGAGAGTCTTCAATCACTGGGTTTCAGAGGCTCGATGGCACTGCCACCCCAATGGGGGTCTTAGACAGATGGGGGTCCACTACTAAACCACCGAACTTGGGGTCTGGGCCATCTACTCTCAATCCTCGATCTGTATTATATAGATCCAATCACGCGCTCCCCACCGCAGGTGCCCTTTTTTTTTGCAGCCACCATTTTAGCCATGATCGACTCGCGAAATTTCTGCGAACTACACCCAGAAAGATTAGCATGGAACCTGATGGCATGGACCAGACTGAAAAGTCTCTAGGGTGTCTCCATCAATCCCTAGCCCTGCGGGCGGCATTGCACCAGGAACAACGGAGCTGCAGGTGACAAATTTTCCGACCCAGCTCCAAATTGTCACAGGATATACTGTACCTGCAGGTTCCAACAAACGACGTCGTTTTGACCTGTTCACATTCTTTCTGATCCTGATGAATTTCAATCCTCCTCATGGATGTGCAGCCACAGCAATTGGAACTTCTCCACAGCTTCGTTGATCCTTGCAGCCGCCGGGCAACGATAAATTGAATAATTGAACCCAAAACGACCGCATGGACACCAGTGAAGCACTGGAAAAGAACATGTCGTTCGTCTTCCAGGTATCGAACTGATCTGCGATCGAACGCTAAGCCAGCTCACGCTTTGATGGCGCTTCGCGCTCGTCCGTCGCAAAGGCCCTTTCGGCATGGGGGGGGCCATCGGAGGGGTCCGTTGATGCTGTTGCAGTCTCCGTTCGCCTCTTTGAAACGTGTCCAACGGACGATGGGCGACGTACTTGTCGCGCTGGTTCCGAGATCCACATGGAACCGGGCTTGGCATAGACTGGAAGCCATTGAGGAAGCCTAGTCTTCCGAAGCAGGTCCATGCCATCTGGTTCCATGTGGGAAGGGACCCCACGCCTAACTCTGCCACCATACCAGGCATCAAGAAGTCTCTTCGTTCGCTCTTGGCGTTTTCTTTTCGGGTCCCAATGAAAGCTGACGTTCGCACCAGTTACCCTCTCAGGCCCATGGGCGTGTATTGTAATAGGGAGACCCCCTGGCCCAATAGGGAGACCCCCCTGGCCCTGGCTGGGTACACTAGTCATCACTGGTCTATTTTCCTTCCTCCACGGGGTCGGGCTGGGAGGTCTCTCTATATATTAATACCTCCCACTATTTGGCATTGTACGGCCATTCGAGAGATTACGAAAGGTAGCCTGGTAGTCCTTGAGTTTGCTTTGCGAAGCAAAGGGACTGGCTTGAGAGCCTGCTCGGGACTAAAGATTGGTAGATCAATGTCTAACACCCCCACCCCCCAGCACCCCTCCCGCATGTGATGATTCATTGAGAAATCAATTGTTTTGCCCCCCCCCCCCCCCTCCCCTCCACTCCCCTCCCCGTCCCCTCCCCTCGCCAGCACTACTAGCATTCTGGACACACCACCACACCATAAGGTGAAGTCATGCGCTTAGCAGTCACAGCAGTACGACGCTGGCCATGAGGTTGCGCAATACAGCACGAACCCTGCACAATGAGGTTGCGCAATGCGGCTTCGATGCCACGCGTGCGCACCCGGCAGCCTGACACAGCGCGTACTGCGTTCACAGACCATATTGCTCGACACCAACGAGCATCGATGCAACACAGCCTCTCTGCAAAGCCCTGTGGAGAAACCTCTCGCTTCGCGGAGCACCATTCGACTCAGCCTTATACCCTAGCGTGGCGACATCTACTACACAGCTATTTACGCCGCGCCCTCCCCATCAGCCACCCACCATATAGCGTGACGTCCATCCCTGGCAGTGCCGGCCGCACCCCTCCAGCACTATCCTTATATATATATATATACAAGGGGTTGGTCACTGCCGCTTCGACGCAACGCGTGCAGGCCTGTGTCCTGACACAGTGCGTGCAGCTGTGGGACCATAGCTGGTACACGTGCGAGCGTTTACGCATTGCGACTTTTACGCGCGCCTGTTTTCACACACCTTTACGCAAACGAGCGTCGACGCAACGCAGCCTATCTGCAGAGCCGTGTGGCGCAATCTGACCGCAACGGTTTAGCCGACCAAGGGGAACGTTCCTGAAGCACCGGAGACAGTCCCTCACCAGAGAAGGTCCCGACAGCTACCCGGTCCGCCTCTACCTTTCGTGTTTCCCCGCTCAAGTGAACTAAGAGACAACTCGAATTCAGATCGTGTATCTGAGGAACAGCCAAATTTACCTATCGATTGGATGGATGTGAGATGTGACTTACCTAGTTACATAGATGTGAGATGGATGAACAGTCAATCAACAACAAGTCAACACATCCAAATGCACCAGAGATGTGAGTCACATGTTGTTGAATGGGTGGATGTCGTGGTCACTTCGGTGGAGTTCGCCTGGTTCCAAACCCTTGGAAAGCAACAGATGACTCACACACGCAGTATTTGTTGTTCAACATGTTTCTGTCACAAGTCGCACCAGCACATAGAATCTTGAGAGGCGATAGCTGACTCACTACGTAGTCTCATCACAAGACTAGTCACAAGACTTATGCGACCAAGTAATTTGGACCATGGCGCATGTAAAGTTTCTCCTCCTTCGCAGCCTCACCAAAACGAGGGGAGCGGATCTCCACGTTCGCAGCTGAGGGAACTTGGAAGAGTTCTTGGAGGAGGTGGCCGATGAACCCTGGAGTTTTTCGGAGAAAGTGCAGGAGGCCCGCGCGCCCGGTGATGACGTGGACATCCAGGCGCGGTTCGTGGCCGAGATTGGACTTGGCACGGCTCATGTCATGTGGTGGATGGATCAAAACATGTCAAAACCAGTCCTAACACCATGTAGCTTGACCTCCCAAGGTATCTATGTGAGGACAGATGGCTTGTCAAATTGGGATTGACAGGGCCAAAGACGGTCAATAAAACATGTTGGACGGTCCATCTTGGACGAAGACAGCTGAAGTTTTCACTGATTTTTGCGGAACGTTCCCAGGGCAGTTCTTTTCCATTCTTTTCCCAAACACACACCCTCAAGTCTCTCTGCAAGGTCCTTGATTTTCTGCAATGTTTGTCCGGTCGAAGCATGGGATGTTTGTTGCAACCTTCGAAGAGCCGTTGGTTTGCGCCATGTCCATGGCTCACAGACTCGATGATGACTTCATGCTGACTTTGCATGCATTGTCAGCGCAAAACCCATGGTAAAAAACGCATGGTGTCAGC